CCGAGGAAGAAGCGAGCGACCCAGAGTCCCTCCTTTGATTTGACCGCGGCATGGCATGCCAGAGTGATGCCCCAAGTTACCTACGCATGCTGACTTAGCTCATTAGTCTTCAAAGGGGTCGTAGTAATTACTATGATTCGCGCCTGGAACCTCGATGGGAGCATTTTCTTCATAATCAGGTTGGATGGGATCTCGAAAATAATGAACGGTATCTAGTAAGTTAGTTAGATTAGGATCATGAAAAGCAACAGCTCTTGAGGTGACGTACATAATACAATGTGCTGACGAAGTTGTAGTCGTCGCCAGTCATCTTCAGTTCAGTGAGGATGTTCCGGGGTGTTCCACGATTCATGGTGCGCGCGTGCGCAGCCTAAGCCGAATAAGCCTCTAGCTTCAGCAACACTCGTCGAATCGGAACCATTGGCTTCTAAGACTCACATTGTTCGCATCGACATTTTTAACCATGAAAATGAGAGCGCATAGCACCATGAGGTGCCAATCGACACGGCGCAACAACTTCTTTTCCTCTTCATAAGACAGGAGACTGCGATCTTTCATGCGCTGGTGGTCATATCCGGGGATCTCGGCGGCGGCCTCGCCATCAATAGGGGCGGCCCTGGGCTGGACGTGTAAGTCACCCTCCGCCGGAGAGACCTCCGTTGGAAGGGTAGGGTCTGTCTTCTCGGTGGCATGGGCTGCCATGGTGAAGATGCGAATCAACAAACAGGATAAGCGATGGAGTGAAAGTGAATGAATGGACCGTGAGTACCCGGAGAGCTAGACTACATGACGTTCTTGATATAAGCGCTTCTTGTCTGAGTACCCAGTGGGTATTGGGGCAAATCTTTTGGAATGGGCAGAGCAGTTCATTACACACATCCCATGTTCTTTGGACATTGGCCAGCCGTCGTCAACATGCCTGTCCGTCCTCCTGAATTGTCACTATGGTGTGTGGATAGAAGAATATGTTGGAACGAGTTCTCTCCTTGCAAATTTTCTATCAGATGAACCATGAACTATAATATGACTGTCTAATTAGGAAGGCGTCGGATCAGCTCCTGTGGCAGGGTGGTGAGGTGGTAGAGCTGCGTCCTCATCATCTTAGACGAAAGCTCGGCCACCGAGGCAAATTTCTTCGGCCGAGCTGAAAGGCTCTGTTGGACCAGGGTGCTACGCTACCCGGATGGGCGGCGACTGCGACGTTACTTACAGGCGATGTACATGCAAGTATCTTGAACCTGCACATTCACTGGCCGCACCACAACACTGCGAGCGCCTTGATGATCCCAAGTCGATCGTGCGGACATTTTGTAATCAGATTCATTGATTGATAAGATGCATTTCATTCACAGTGATAAGATTCAACAGACTTGGGCCATTGGCTGTTGAGCACGCAACTCACCCCCCCACCACTCCCCCAGGATATTCCACAAAAACGGCGCATCCCCACATCCGTATGCTTAATAGTAAGCATCCGTTATTGGCATGTCTTGGAAACTCTTAGCGTTCAAATCTTATTCGAGAACCCTTTTGACCGGTGCCCACCAACTTCACCTCTTACACACATTTCCCACTCCCCTCAGGTTTGCCCTTGCTTTACGACGCGAATCGGCGGTCTCGATCGCCGTGTTCCCTTAGACGCTGACATGGAAATAGGAGTCAACTCAGGTTTCGATCTGGTCATATCATCCGAGCACGGCTCCATCGTCGGTGACCAGAAGAAACATATTTCCTTCAGTTGGAAGAGGCACAGCACTAGTGACAAAAGAACTACCCAGTCTTGATGCATGAATAATCACTAAAAGGCTCCTAATGTAGCATTATTCGCTCGCATAGCTCTCACCTCACATTGACTAGTGGGTGACAGAGCCCACGGACTGCCCCTGGTAACCTTGAGAGAGCGGCTGCCCACAGGGGTCCTCCAGCTGCAAGCCCACCTCACGCATAGCCCGAATCCCGCCGTTCATACTGTCTGCAGCGTACCCCTTGGCTCGCAAAACACTGGTGGCAACGCGAGCAGAGTCTCCATCGTAGCAAATGATGAGCGAACGCTTGTCGCGGAGCTGAGAGCAGATGTCTTCATTCTCGGAGCTAAGCTTGGCCTCGAGCTCTCGCCAAAGCGATGCCAAGACCTTTGGATCTGAGAATGGGCTTGGAGTACCCGCCTCGATGAGCGGAAAGCTGACAGACCCCGGGAGACTAAACTGGTCGAAGTCCTCAGGTTGACGCAAGTCAACCACAATGGTGTCTGGTGACGGGGCTACAATCTTCTCCCAGCCTTGTCGCTCATCTGACCGTCTCTTGGACACGAAGAAAAGAAGATCCCTAGTCAGGATCTTGTCTAGGTGGTAAAAGTCGTTGAGGGCCACCAGAGGGTCCTTTTCCCAGGCCGAGTCGTATCGGTAGAGGTCAACACCACTCAATTCCTAAGCGCCCCGTAATTAGCGAGATGCACCGTACCACAGGGACAATGAACATCAACAACTTACTGAGTTTCTGATCGGAGGGAACTGCTCGGAGTCTAATTTGTCAAAATATTCGTCCATGTATTGGTACGGGAGATCGCAACACAAAAAGACGCAGTGAATTTGACCGTCTTGCCCTGCAAGCTCATTCAATTTCCCACTCTGCTTTCTTTTCTCGATGAGCTGGAAAAGTCCTTGGAGGTTGAATCCGGACGAGGGACCGCAGACAATTCCGTTGCGGCACAGCTCCAAAGAAAGCGAGAATGAGGGGTGGGATGCGACCTCCTCAATGTGGTCGACAGCTGACTTCCAGGGGAAATTAACAGGAGCCAGGAGAGCCAGGGACCGTGGCCCTGGAACTCTGTCGCCTGCAGCTGTACACACGCTGCGGATGCTGTTAGAAATCACTGCGAAGCTGATCCGTTGAATTTCTTACCCCAAACGGAAAACAGACGGGCTGTTCTCCTTGAAAAAGGTGCCTAGTCCTGACATTGTACCTGTGCACAAGAGTGTTAAAGCCGCAATCTTCAAAAGAAGCTGAAAGTCTTTGAAGACAAGACGTACCAGAGGTTCCCATTCCTGCGCAGATCAGGCTAATTTCGGGCAATTGTTCCAGAATCTGCGGGCCTGTCCATCGCATATGAGATTTCCAGTTCTTGTTGGCTCGATCAGTAGCTGTAACACGCCCATAACGCTTGACAAGATATCTCACCAGATCGTTGTTGTATTGGTCGGGGTTGACAACAGATTCGGATTCCTGTGCCCAGCGGTATGCCGCTCGAATCCCGCCACGCTCGTCGTTCGGTTCCGGTTGGGAAGGACCGCCGAATAAGGTACTGTTGCAAGGCCATAGTGAGCAAAGTTATGTCTTACCGGGAACCATTCAATCAAGCTAGAGAACGGCCCCACTTACAGTTTAAGACCAAAGAACTGCATCAGTTTCAACTTTGCCGATGTCGTCTTATTGCTCAGGAAGGCATGCACATCTCCTAAGTCGTAGAGAACGCGGGACATCAAAGCCATGGAAATGACAGTTGAACCAGAGCTGTATTCAACGACGGTTTTGGTCTTGTCGGGAGCAACCCCGTGCTCAAGAAGATTGAGGGCTTTGGTTGAATCAGACATCAGCAATTCAGATTCGATTTCCCCTAATATCATTCCGACATAATTACCTGGCATAGCTTTGACATTGTTTGCAGGGTGCATAGTCATCATCTTGGCGTAGATACGGATGCCATCTTGTCGGTATGGATTGAGGGCGTCAGGAAGCTCCACAAGCGGCAATGGTGGTGCCTTGTCAGGATTGAAGTAATCCTTGACAGAGTCAGGGCCCTTATAAACGTTGAGATTGTTTCGTGCCGGCATCTCGAAGTTGTGATAATAAGAAAAAAACGTGTTGTTGGGGGATTATGTCGAGGAATGTAGAGTTCGGAAGCATTCAGCTGCAGAAATGATAGACAATAATCTTTTGCTCCTGTGGAAGAACGTTGCGCTCAGGACAACCGATCTCAAACCTTCAAAGTGAAGCGACTGCCCTTGATATTATTGCATGTTCTCAGCTAGACCACAGACAATTAAGCATAACCACGGACGATACGCCTGAAGGATACGTCCGCTTACATGCCCAATGGAATTACATCACGTCTTCACCACACTCTACACTTGTCAATCGCGCGTGGCAGGGGTACGAGAAGCTACGAGTGATTCTCGCCGACAGAAACCGATCACACAAAACAAATGGCTCAATGGATCAAACATGACTCAACTAAGAACCTGTTACCTGTGGGAAGTTCATGATGAAGCTTTCCATACACGAAAGGGTTGTGATCGAATGGGTCCTGAACTGCATACCCCAGTCCCGAATTGACATTCCGCCGCCCCCCTGTGACCTATGAACGCTGTGGCGGCCATGTCCGATAACACCGAAGGGATCCTCTCTTCGCCGAGTGCGACCTGCTATTGCTTGTTCTGCATGATGGTCTGCATAACCACAGAAGGCCCGTCCCATCGACCTACTAAAATATCAGGGTGTGCAATTATAAGGCAAAGACCTTCATGAACACGCGCCGTTGAGCGGCGTCCCTGGCGATGGAGGCAAAGTCGCAGCAGGCACCCCCACTCTCACGACACATGCCGCGTGGAACAAGGTCCGACCATGACAGCGAAATCGATGAATAGCGGTAAAGCTCTTCATTAAACTCAAAAAAGGAAAATTCGGCAAGCTCAGCGCAACATCATTAGCAAATACTTTTGACGTTCCACTGATATTGACCGTGACGCTGTGCATGCTACGGCGAAATTCTACACTGCTAGTCTACCAAGGGTCCGCCAAGACCTTTTCAATGATCTGCCACGTCATTTCAAGCTGTCTACAGAACTTCACGTTCGTCCCTTGAAGTTCTTCGGGGTATAATTTGGTCCCAGATATCGTGTAAAGGCAGCATCTAGGTAGTGAGCGAAAGAATAGACTCCAGCTTCTACCGCATCTTTGTTGGAAACCCGAATTTGCACGTCCTACGCCTTTACTTTCTAGCTATGAACGAGAAACCTAATCCAGCTGACAGCAGCCCTCGGGAGGCTGGGGGCATCATTACCAACACCCCCGAGAGCTCCCAGACGCCGGAGACTGTGATGGAATCGCCAACGTCTACAGACAAAAAGCCAGAGGCGCACACATTCAACGAGCAGACAAATTACGTGTCGAAGGTCAAGGTTATCACGGTAGGTTGCCCCGCCTCAGAGTGTTCGACTTTATTCCCCTGTTTGCTCTCGCGACAAATGCTCACAAGAAAAGATTTTCCTGGCATGCGCCAGCGTGGACCTGGTAGCGCTCATGGACCAGACCACCCTGGCAGCTAGCTTGTCTATTGTTGGCAATTACCTTCATGCAGGACAACAGCTATCCTGGCTCGCTAATGGTTACTTCATGTACGTTTTGATCGGTTGACGATAACTCTCGCTGATTGATGCGTCCGCATAGCACATCCACAGTTGGGCAGCTCTTGTACGGCCGCCTCTCGGACATATGGTCGCGTAAGGTGATCCTAATGGTCGGACTAGCCATCTTCGGCCTCGGGTCGCTGGCATCTTCTCTCGCGCAGACGGCTACCCAACTCATCATTTTCCGTTGTTTTACGGGTCTGGGCGGTGGCGGACTCATGACAGTTGCCCAGATGATCGTCAGCGATGTTGTCCCTTTGCGCGAGAGAGGGAAATACCAGGGTATTCTGGCAAGTTCCTCCGGTCACGATTCCACTTCCACCCCAGCCTCCCTTCCCCGCTACGGTATCAGATTTGATCAGATATCTTTTCTTCAGAACAGATGAACATCCACACCCCCCTCCCCTGCACAGGCGACCCTCCTACTAACACCTCGGTTCCTTCAGGGCGCCGTCACTGCACTAGCTAACGGAATAGGTCCCGTCATCGGCGGCACCCTTTCCTCCAAAGGCGGCGACTCATGGCGCTGGATCTTTCGCCTCAATCTGCCCCTGGCGGCACTGTCTGCAGTATGCGCCCTGTTTTTCATGCCACTCAGGAAGGTCACTGGGGACTGGAAAGTGTAAGTCGTCTCCTGTCAGTGGCTGACGTGAAAGGAAATCTGAGCGGAGCTCCGCTCGGTTGAAGCCCCTCGTGAAGTCGCACTCAAGCTGACCACCGGCGTCCCTATGTAGGAAGACACGAGCCATCGATTTCGTAGGCATCTTGCTTGCATTGGCTGGCACCACCAGCTTGATGCTTGGTTTGACTTGGGGTGGTGGCGAGTACCCCTGGGCTTCTGCAGCTGTCCTTACTACTCTCCTCGTGGGGTCCTTCATCTGCGTCGTCTTTGTCTTGTGGCAGTGGAAGGGGCCGAGATACCCGCTCGTACCTCGTAAGATCCCATATTCCCCCTGAACACGCCTATAGGATTGACATTTATTCCTTCGAATTCCACAGTGGACATTTTTCGCGCTCGCATGACCATCGGGGCATGCATCACCATGGCCATTAACGGATGGAACTTTGTCGTTCAGGTCTACTATATTCCCACCTTCTACCAGCTTGTCTACAACTATGGGGCGACTAGATCCAGTGTCATGCTGCTTCCCATCACCCTCGTGCAGACTGCGAGTAGTACCCTCTCCGGACTCATAGTCCACTGGGTGGGACGTTATCGCGAGTGCATCTTGTTCGGGTGGCTCTGCTGGTCGGTCGGTCTAGGCCTCATGTCCACCCTCGACGAGACTTCTGGTCTAGGAAAGCAGATCGGCTATTCCCTGCTTATTGGTGTGGGTGTGGGAAACACCCTTCAGCCGTAAGCATCGGTGCTTCGCCCGATCACTATGCTGTTTACTGACGCGGTCCTCGGCAGAGCTCTGGTTGCCATCCAGGCGAGCGTTCCAAGAAAGGACATGGCCGTTGTCACATCATTCCGCAAGTATGTCATCCCTCCGCTCTGAGATGAAGATGTACTGGTGATACTGACACAGGTGGGATAGCTTTGTGAGGAACTTGGGGGCTACATTTGGGCTTGCCATCTGCGGCACAATTTTGTTTGTCACCTTCCCAGAGGCGTACACAGCCCGTTCGATGACACCATATACTGACAATTCCAAGGAACAACATCGTCAAGAGCTCGGTCAATGGTCTAGATCTGGGTGTGGAACAACGCGATTCGCTTCTCAGCAACCCACAGCAGTACATATCGTCGCTTTCTGATGAAGATGCGCAACGTATCAGAGCCGTTCTCGCTCCCGCGTACCAGAAGTCTTTCAAGGTCATTTTCGAGCTTGGTTCTGGCTTAGCAGCAGCAGCATTCTTCGTAGCATGGTTCTTGATGCCACACATTGACTTGTCCCGCCCCGACGATCACAAGTTGAAAGAGGAGGGTCATCAGGCACAACTGAAAGAAAACGCTGACGCCGCAGAGAAGTCTCCGTGATCGGCGAGATTGAACAACGTTGAGCTACATTTTCAACAATGACCAGGATCGTCGGAAGGAGGGCTTCGGCGATAGGAGGCTGGTTAAGACTTTTGGAGTAGGGCGGAGTTGTGTTGAGTTTTTCGACTCAGCGGGCAAATTTGTACCAAAGCTCATTATTAGCGATAGAATGGGCTTGACTTGAAAATCTACAAAATTGCCGAAGTACGTTGCGTCCACGTGTGTTGGGGGAGGGGCAGGCTGAAAGAATACGTTTGGTCTCTGGTACCTCAGCTGAACATGAAGCCATATCCCACCGGCTGCCACATCACTGACCAGTAAGATCGACGCTGATGCTGCAGCAACACCACGGCCTTGATTCGTGACAAAAATGCTCGGAAACCATCACTGTGCTAAACTTGCCGACACAAGACCCTTGTTAATTTATGATTAGATTGATAAGCTTTTTAGCCGCGATGTGCTCCATCGGCTTAATGCACTCCGCGGACCACAAGCTTGAATTCGGTCCCCACGGTGTACGGTGTGGTGGTTTAAACACACGCCTTGTGGTATCGCCGAACTGCCCTGTCCGACTATCCGAGTCGTTTACATAATGCGACCGAATTCAAAGGCATTCCCTGCGTAGAACATGCAATGCAACGCACCCCCAGTCATTTGAACACCAGAGTGGGCCAACGCAAGTACCTCGTCTGTAAGTATTCACCAGTACTGCAGATCCGCGGCAAGATCGTGGCATCAAGGTTGTCTTCAACAATCACCTCATGGAACTCAACGACTAGCGTGCGCGATCAGTTTAATCACTCAGTCACATTGCATGTCCGACTCGGATTCGGAGGTAATTTCGAGCTCGGGATGCAGCTGCAAAGCGAAACCTTTATGGCCAATGTCGTCAATTCGGTAGTTGTATCAATAGCGCGACCAAAAAGCCTGTAGATGGCTCCATTTCCACGACATCATCGTGGAGATATAAGCAATTGGGCTCCGATTCCGGATGGAAAGATTCATCATCGTCTTTCCTCCAAGTCTTTGAGGTCCCCGTGGCGAAGCAAACTGTGCTCACGGAAACATCGCAACTCACGATCCATCGGTTCATTCATTTCCCAAAGATGATTCCTCGCACAGGCTCAATCCTACTGGCCGCCCTGTATGCTGGCTCTAGCTTTGCAGCAGCCGACTCTCAGCGGCCATTACTGAAGGACTTTGACGCCCTCGGCGCCTGGTTCGAAGAAGTAGCCGCCATCAATGCCACGGGACCTCAAGATGTCGAACAAGCCAAGAACACCACCATTGCTATCGTTGGCGCGGGCATCACTGGCCTAGCCACGGCTCTCATGCTCGATAGCGTTGGCGTACACAACTGGGAGATCCTCGAGGCTAGTCACCAAATCGGTGGACGTCTGCGGACTATCTATGTTGGAGGCACCCAAGAATGGGCGGAAATGGGCCCCATGCGTCTTCCCTACAAGATCAAGTACAAGAGCGACAATGCGACACTTGAGTACTCCGACCATGCCATGACATTTCAGTTGGCAGATTGGCTCAATGAGATGAACCAAGGCAGCCAGCCCGACCTGAACATCAGTTTCATCCCCTGGATCCAGCACTCGCCCAATGAGTTGCTGGCACTAGGCACCGGGAGACATCCCGACGGAAGCATCCCCACGCGCGCCGAGATTGCCGCAAACTCCAGCCTTGGCAAACCGGCACCGATGGATACGCAGGAGTACAAGGACATCAAGGCAAAGATGAGCAACATTCTGCTCAACGAAGATACAGTCAGAGAGATCCAGAAGGACGCATGGAGAGTACATGGCCGAACTATGAAGAGTGGGCTTGACGACGTCAGCCAGCAGAGCATGATGCGCAACGTCTGGAACGCGAGTGCTGAGGTGGTGGATGCCATCCACGGCGCCACTGATTACGACGTCTTCTGGGATGAGATGTATCACAACTCCAACCTGGCACAGGATGGCAGCAAGGGTTCTTTGGGCGAGACGGAATGGCGGTGCGTCGATGGCGGCTTCAGCCGCTTCTCGGACGCAATCCTGCCACACGTTCAAGATCGTCTCGTCCTGAACCGCCAGGTTCGGGCGATTGAGGCTGTCAAGGATGATCAGAACGCGGTCACAGGCACGAAGATCTCTTGGGTCGATGTTGATGCCAACAGAACGCAGACGAAGCCGACGGCTGAGCAGAGCAAGACCTACGATTACACCATGCTCGCAGTTCCTTTCACCATGACGCGGATGATGCGCCTACCATCCTTCTCACCCACCCTCTCGCGAGCCATGGCTGAACGCGGTGTTCGCTTCAAGGACGCCTGCAAAGTTGGCCTGCTCTTCAGCGAACGCTTCTGGGAGAAGGGTGACCGTCCTATCTTTGGCGGATACTCCACGCCTCCTGATGCAGCTGTCGGCGCTCTCTACTACCCAGTCTATGGACACAACGAGTCGGGACGTCCGGGTCTCATTCTGCACTACCGCGGAGGTGACTGGAGCAGCCGCTTCGCCAGCCTCAGCGAGGAGCAGCACGTGGGAATGGTCCTCGACGCCATTGCTTCACTCCATGGCGAGCACGTTCGGAACCTGTACACGGGCACCTACGAGCGGTTGTGCTGGTTGGACGAGCCTTTCATCGCCACGGCCTGGACACGCCCGGATGTGGCTCAGCACGCGTTGTACATCCCGTCATACCACCAGACTGAGTCGAACGTCATTGTTCTCGGCGAGCACACCGCGCCCACTCACGCATGGATTAGCTCCTCACTTTACTCCGCCGTTCGTGGTGCTGTTCAACTCTTGCTTGAGATTGGTTTGGTCGACGAGGCCAAGCAGCTGAACCAACAGTGGATGGGACGATGGATCAACATGCAGTAGACCACATGTGTGCGTCAAGATGGGAAGGTTCAAGAAGTAGCGGATGAAAAGTTATAATTCGGAGGAACCTTACAAGGGGAAAATCAGCGATGAAGTTCCAGGGTAATCTAAATAGCCACCGATGCGCTTCTAATTCTGCAGACGTAATGAGATTATGATTCAACCCATGAAGTTCTGCAGCAAGTGACACGCTGGGATGATCAACGTCACAGGCTCGCTCATTTTGAATTTTTGAATTTGCTAGACCGTGCTTTTTCTAGAGATGCGCTGTCTAGATCATAATTGGGAATGGCGAAATAAATATTCAACTTATCTACACAAGAATTTGGCCACCACTAAGAGTACCGCCAGCCTCCGGCACTTTCAAGATACCTTCATTCACCAGATCGATTGCCAGCCGGCTCAAAAGTCCATCACAGCCCTTCGCCGCCAGTATTCCCACAGCCACCGGCAGCTTCTCATCGTGATTGGTAAGAGCGCTGAAGCTAGAGACCTCACCCACTGGATAGATCAAGTCCGGACATCCCGAAAAGACAGACATTCGGGCCGCCGAGAACCCAGTAAAAGGCGCTGGGAGGGCTATGTCGTACCGATTCCTCGGTGACTGCGTTCCTGTCTTACCAGCATATAAAATGAGGCCGGACGAGCATTGCAGGCTGTCATTGACTGGAGGTAGGATCTGATCGTTGAACCAGTCCATGAACATTGTCTTGTTCTGCATGGCCTCATCCCAAGAGTAGTTGGCAGCCCAGGCCCATCGCGCTAGCGGGGATGGGTTGATGAAAGGCCGACGTCCGTCGAATTGCTTCGCATAGTCTGCGTAGAACGGCTGGACCACCGCATCGTCCTGACCCTTGCCAGTGAGCACTGGGTAGGTAATGTTGAAAGTCTCGGTGAAGTTGAGATCGGCGTTAGGGTTCGTTTCGCGCATGCCCCATTGCTGGGCCACATTCAGGGTGCCCACGTTGCCACCCACAAACTTGGCCAGAGCAGCCGCGAAGTTGTTCAGAAGCACGCCTGCTTCGGTGCTGGAGTTCGGGTATGACACAGTCATGATCTTGGTCGGATACTTCGGCTGCAATGTCGCCAGAGAGGTGTAGTTGGAGCCATAGGTTACAGCCTGGAGTTTGTCCCACAGCTTCGGGTCCCGAACAAGGAAGCCGACAGTATCAAGAGGCTCTGACAGCGGCATGATATGATCGGAGCTCACGGCACCGTGCGATGCTCTGTTGCCGAATACGCCGTTCACTCCTGCGGGACTGCGGATGCTGCCACCCGTGTCAGTTCCGACAGCAGCATCAAGCCAGCTGTAGGAACCAACAGAAGCACCTGCACCGGAGCTCGAAGAGGACGGGTCTTGATAGCCATCTCCCCTAGGGTTGAAGGGAGAATGGTAGTCAACCCAGTCAACAGTAGCAACCTCGCTCGTTGCAAACTGGGAGAGCTTCTGTGTGCCCACAATGATAGCGCCGGCTTCGATAAGCCTTGAGATGGCCGTTCCAGTGACGTTGTTCGCCGGGTATAAATGGTACCATGCGCGGTTCCCGTTCGACTGTTTGGCTCCGGCCAGCGAAAAAATGTCCTTCACGGCAATGCGGACGCCAGCTAGGGGCTTGGAATCTGAAGGCTCGTAATACAAGCGCGAAGGCACACCGATGGTGAAGGTAGCTGAACCGGGGATCTTGGCTGGCAAGACTTGAAAGGTGCCATCGTTGTTGTATAGCAAGGCTTCGGTGAACGCACCGGCGGTATCGTCATAAAGCCGGTACGCTTTATGTAGGTCTCCGGTGGCTTTTCGCAGGAAGTATGGCCCCTTCGGCACGTTGGAACTCGATGTAAAGCTGACCACTGTCGAAGGTGTTTCACCAGCAGTATGAATGGCTTCAGCTGTCGAGGTCTCCGCGTCAATTGTTCCGTTGAGGAGAAGCTGTGTAAACCCAGACTGGAATACGTCGTCGGTCTCGGTCCAAGCAGTGAAGATGTCGGAAATATTATCTGCTTGGCTCGCAGGTGCCGTTGGCAGGACGGCGACCGGAACGAAATCGAAGACACCATCGATACCTGCAGGAACATCCGATTGGAGGGAGATGTTTGCAGCGACGTGGGGGCTAATGAAGTATGGGA